GGTTGGTGACCCCCGTGTCCCCGCAGGACTGCAGCGTGCTGGCCTTCGTCCTGGACCACCTGCTGCCACACCAGCAGAACGCYGAGGACAAGGACACGCCGGCGCTGGCGCGGCTCTTCCTGGCCAGCCTGGCYGCGGCCGGCAGCGGCACCGACGCGCAGGTGGCCCTGGTCAATGAGGTCAAGGCAGCGCTCGGCCGCGCCCTGGCCATGGCTGAGAGCACCGAGAAGCACGCCAGGTGTGGGGACAGCTGGGGACAATAAGGGGGACAGTGTGGGGGCAGCTGCGGACAGCAGGCCATGCCCTGGTTGTGGCTGAGAGCACCAAGAAGCACGCCACGTGTGGGGATGGCTGGGGACAATGGGAGGAATGGTGTGGGGACAGTGTCAGGACAGTGTGGGGGCAACATGGGACCACTGCAGAGACAGCCTTGGGACAATGTGTGTTCCTCTGGAGTGACCGCTATCCCCCTGGAGTGACTGTACCAGTGTCCCTGTGGAGCGCCCAGTGCCTGTTGTCCCCCAGTGTGACCGTGTCTCTGGAGTGCCTGCTGTCCCCTGGAGTGTCCCCTGTCCCCTCATGTGACCATGTCCCCAGAATGCCCGCTGTCCCCCAGAGTGCCTGCTGTCCCCGTTGGTGACCATGTGTCCTGGAGTGCCCACTGTCCCCCCGGTGACCGTGTCCGTGCTGTCTCCCAGTGTGACTGTGTCCCCTGAAATGCCCGCTGTCCCCTAGAGTGTCCCCTGTCCCCCAATGACTGTGTCCCCGCTGTCCCCGCAGGCTGCAGGCCGTCATGTGCATCATCAGCACCATCATGGAGTCGTGCCCGTCCACCTCGAGTTTCTACAGCAGCGCAACCAAGGCGCCGCACAACGGCATGAACAACATCATCCGCCTGTTCCTCAAGAAGGGGCTGGTCAACGACCTGGCCAGAGTSCCCCACAGCCTCGACCTGTCCAGGTGGGGTCAGGGGACCTCCTCGGGGTCATCTTGAAGGGTCTTGGGGGAGCTTAAGGGGCTTTGGGGGCATCTCCAGGGGGTTTGGGGGCATCTCCAGAAGGTTTGGGGGACTCTTTAGGGGGTTTGGGCCATCTCCAGGGGGTTTGGGGGCATCTCCAGGGGTGCTTGGGGATGTTTTGAGTGATTTTGGGGGCATCTTGAGGGCCTTTGGAGGAGCTTCATTAGGGTGTTGAGGAGTTTTGGAGGGTCTTGAGGAGTTTTGGAGGGTCTTGAGGGGTCATGTGTTGTCTTGGAGGGCTCTTGGAAGGTCGTGGTGGCTTTGTGGGGCTGTGTTGGATTTATGGGGTCATGGTGGGTTTGGGGTAACAGTGGTGGGTTTGAGACCTTGGTGAGTTTGTAGGGCCGTGACGGGTTTGTGGGGCCATGACGAGTTTGTGGGGCCACGCTGTGCCTGGGGGCGCCACGCTGGGTTTGGGGCCCCAAAGGGTGTCCCTGTGCTGGGTCCCAACCCGTGTCCCCACCCTGTCCCCAGCCCCAACATGGCCAACACGGTGAACGCGGCACTGAAGCCGCTGGAGACGCTGTCGCGCATCGTCAACCAGCCCAGCGGCCTCTTCGGGGCCAAGGGCTCGTCCGGCAAGAGCAAGGCCGAGGGCGCCGGGGGGGCCCGTGAGCC